CTATTGAGCCACCTTGAAGGCCTGATAATGACATAAGCATGCTAATTACACAATTTGTCCGAATGCAAGTCTTGCCAACCAAGTTATTGTAATTATTTTAATAAGTAGTGTTTTGGCTGCAATAAGCCTTTCAAACCTTGTTTTTTCAGTTAAAAAGCATTATTTGGGTGGAATAAACAAATTAGAGGTGCTTGGACAAGGAATAGTACTTTCTGTGGAATACTCCTTGAATAAACATTTGAAATTCTGAGTATATTTTGAGTGACATAATCCTTTAAAACCTAAATCGCGCACTTTAGTGATTATTCATTCCTATAGGTGGCGCTGTCTAGAAAAAAATGCTTTAAACGTGCAGCCCGAGAGGCGCGGTCCTCCGTGCGGATCCTGATACAACCTCCAGGTCTGCAGACGCATGTCTTTGACTGAGAGCACACAGAAATAGGAGAAGAAGAAGAAGACGCTCGATGACGTGTTTTGTTCTGCGACAGAAGCACCGTGTATAAAGTAGCAGTTAGAAGCTACTTAGCTGGATTTTGCAGCAGCTACGGAATTAAATCGATAATGCAAGACATACTAACGACTCTGTGAGTAGTAATATTATCACTTCGAAACACAAGAGACAGCTGGAGCGCGTTAAACCCCGACACAATCAGCGTCAAGCAGTTACTTTGCCGGTGTAATAATAGTTAGCGAGCTGTCGTTAGCTGAACTTGGTCATTAGCTAACTTTATTTCTGACCCCGTGTCCTACTTGATTTGTGTTTAATATTTTTACCCCTTAGATAATGATGTGACAGCTAGCCGTTTATACGTGGTGTTGAGGAGCAGTACATGTCCCGTCTGCTGGAGGTGGTAGAGGGCAGGCGGAGGGTCTGAACTCTGTGGTCGGCTGTCGCTAAACGGAATGGAGACCTGGACCCCCAATCCCCGAGCCAAGCCATTCATCCCCCGCCAACAAAGAAGCTTGTATCTCACCTGGAAATACAAGCTAACCAATAAAAGGACGATTCGTAGGTTCTGTCAGGTCGGTAAAAAACAACAACATACAAACAAAACAAAACTTCCTCTGTGGATTGAGCTCTGCTGAAGTTTGGTGTTGCTCCAGGAGCTTAACATAGCAAAGCTGACTTGCTGTCTGCAAGACTGCACATTCTGCGCACTGATCTAAAAATGCCAGATACTACTGCTTTAGTCTGTGAAATTGGACAAAGGTAGTAATTCTTTTTTCTTACATTGTTTTGGATTTATGAAATCAACTAACAGTTTAGGGTTTCAAAATGTTCACAAAACAAAAATGTTGATTTAACTTCCAAAGTATAAGCTGCTAGAAATATCACTGCTTCAAGCCTGACAAAAGACACAAAACCAAAAAAACCCCTAATCTTTCTTTTGTTTAGTCATCCTGTTTTTGGAGGATTTAGCTATGTCGAAATCATTAAAAATAAGTACATATAATAAGTATAACTGTACACATTTGTCAATTCATGAATGCAGTTTATACCACCGTAGTTTTCCCTTTAACACCTTTGCATAATCGGTTTTCCTATTAAACAAACTAATGAGGCGTCCTCGTTTTGAGAGGGGAGTGTACAGCTGGTAGATGTGAACATTTTGAACATGAAATATGTTCATATTTTACACCTAAGACTGTATTTTTTTCTTTTCACAGGCTGGTGCTGTGTTGTTTCTGCTGATAACTGTCATAGTCAACATTAAGCTTATCTTGGACACTAGAAGAGTAGCTAATGAAGATGCAGCAGCTCAAGAATACGGTGGGAAACATGTTCATGTCATATTTTATTGCTGTTAATTCTTTCATTTTTCAGGTAACAGACTAGCAGACTAATACATCCCCTTTCTTTTCTAGTTCCAGTGTTTGAAAAAAATGTTGATTGCAACTGTGTTAAATTAAAGATAAAGATCAAAGAGAAATTAATGTTATTGATTGAATATTCTCTGTAATAAATAACAGTAGAATAATCCATTTTCTAATCTGTGTTTTATCAGCTACAGTACCAGCAGTGTAAACGGACTTGACAGCAAATCAGAGCCAAACATAAAAACACATTTATGTGATTTCTGCAACGCCAACTAAATACATGTCTGGTTCCCATGGCAACGCAATATTTGCAGTGTGCAATACTGTAACTACACGGCTTCATTCAGTAATATTAGTAACGCACAATTTAACATGTTTGCAGATAAAACATATTCCCTCAGCTGACAATCTGTATCGCTCATAAATAATAGTAAGAAAATGATTTAATTAAAGGGAGATGCTCTTTCCAGCCGATTCAAATCCGAAAGTCTGAACATAACCTGCTCACGACCAGGTTAGCTCCACAGCATAAGTTACCATGGAGATCTAGCAGGTAAAAAGAGAGCCACCTTCCCTTCGTGACACTGAAAACTCTGGCCTTAAGCTCAACATACCTGCTAAGCCACTAATCTCGCTTTGTAGTACAGCCCTCAGGGTGAACCCTGCCTTCACCCTGAGTCAGCTGGGATATGCTCCAGCCCCCTGCAACCCTACAGAGGATAAAGCGGTGTATAGAAAATTGATGAATGGCTATATGCTGCAAATGTTCGACACATTGTTGTGAAAATATATCCATATCTTGGTCTAATGCTTATTAGAGGATGCGATCCCCAACATGGAGACGCCACGCAGGCCGGCCAATGGACGCAAGGTCTTGGACATTGAGGTGTACTCCAGTCGCTCCAAGGTCTATGTGGCAGTCGATGGCACCACTGTGAGTGATTGACTGTTTGAATTACTAGCTAATGACAATGTTCCAAATCAGTAATTCTGCTTTAATACGTGGAGGGTTTCCACTCAGTAATTATTTTTTACTGACAAGCCAAACTTATGAGATCTGTGAATGCAGCAGCAGATGGACGCATATATGCCTGCTAAAGTAGTCAAACCATGTTTGCGGTAGCTCCTGCCTCAGAAGGGCATTTTGTCATGATGACACACTCATACACACACATAGACTCACAAGGTAACAATATCTGCTTTGCTGTTGCAGCTGGTAGTTATAGACAAAAATGGAAACAATGTAACATTTTCATTGTGATTTTTTGTAATGCATTGTGATGCCCATGCTGCCATGCTTGAAAAAATTGCACAAAAGGATCCCTCAGACATTATGTAAGACTTTGTTTTTCATCTAACCAAGGATCAGTTGTTTATAAGGAGCATTTTTTTCTTCACTTTTGATGGCACTAGATTTATATTCTTCCTTTTTTCCACTTCTACAGGTGCTGGAGGATGATATGCGAGAGCAAGGCAGAGGCATCCATGTGATAGTTCTCAACCAGGCAACTGTAAGCATCTGTTTATTCTTTATATTAAATATCAACAAAATAGTTTTCGGCTGTTTCACTTTTCCAGGTTTTTTCTGAGCCAGCAACTTTATAGGCCCAATAAGAAAGAAAACATAAGATAACCACTTTTCCTGTAAGAAGTATGCTCATGCTTTGTTGCTCAACAGTCTTTTCAAATCTTCAGGTCAGAATGGTCAGGTAAATAAACCACTGTCTATTGTGTGTTTCTCAGGGTCATGTGATGGCAAAGAGGATATTTGACACCTATTCACCCCATGAGGATGAAGCCATGATCCTCTTCCTCAACATGGTGACCCGGGGTCGTATCCTAATTTTTACCATAAAGGTCAGTTACTGACTGCTGACTGAGCAATGAAACAGGTATTCATGTTATGGTCATAACCTATACAAATGGAATTTTGTCCTGCAGGATGAGGGCACATTCCACTTGAAGGATGCTGCTAAGAACTTGCTAAAGAGTCTGGGCAGCCAGGTGTCCCTCAACCTCAGCTGGAGAGACATGTGGACTCTGGTGGTGAAGAAAGGAGGTAGTAGGGCAAGCTTTCATTTCAGTGTATCTAACTGTCAAATGACATTGTGTCACTGGTCAGCCATTACACAAGAAGACATCACTTTATTCAGTCTTAAAGTCTCTGTGGGGCTGGAAGGCATTATGATTGTGGTCCCTCAAAACAGGGGAAAAGCGACATTTGAAACGTAAAGGCAACTATGAAGAGCTTCACATTCCATTTTATGGCATGTTTGACATTTGATGGTTAATCATTTACTGATCATTTACTTGTTGATCAATCAGCTAAACACACTGTAAAGTATTTAGATGGCAGAGAACACTGCGGGAGAATAGCCAGGGAAAAACAGTTCATAATGGAGGTCAATAAAACACACCGTAGTTTCCGAACTATTGAGCGCATCTGAATATGAGCCGCACCCACTAATTTTAAAAAGAAAACAAATTTTGTACGTGTATAGGCTGCACTTGTCTATAAGCTGCAGATGTCCACATTGTAACATGAGATATTTACTAAGAAAGATTTTTTAAAACTTTTAATTAAATACGTATCAGTAACATACACAAATACATACCATAAATGCTTTTTTCCGAACAGTGTCTGTAACTCGGCTGGTTAGAAAAAAATAAAAATAAATACAGTAGCCTATCAGGAAAAGTCATTGATCGCTACCTTTATCTTCCTCCTGTACTATAAACACTGAAGTCGTCTTCTTCAGTGTCAGAATTGAACAGCCTCAGAATTACTTCGTCACACACTTCCTTAGTCTCTCTTTCGTTGTCGCTCTCAATGTCACTTTCTTCTCGAGGCAAATTTGTAAAAATTGTAAAAATCCATAAATTAGCCGCATCATCGTTTAATCCGCAGTGTTCAAAGCGTGTGAAAAAAAAAAATAGCAGCTTATAGTCCGGATTTTACGGCACTAGGAAGTAATGAACAAAAACTAAACAGTTACATTGTCTTGTTTATTCAAGATAGTCACAGACAATAGAATGTTGTTGGGATAAAGTTGCAAAGTCCTCAGATTGTTATTGTATTGCAAATTTTTTATTGCATTAAAATCCTTAAAGTTGTTGCACAAAACGTCCAAACTAAAACTGTGCCAAGTAAAATGAAATAATACATTGCAGTTGTCAAACTCCTGCACTCATGATGACATTTTGCTTGTCATGAGAGTATCATAAGTTTCCTGTTTTGTCCGAGAGATAAATATTTTCCATTACCTCTTTTTAAAAAACACGTGCTCTTTAGTGTGGGTTGCTACTGGAGAATGCTTTGTCAGTCTCCCCAGGTGAACAAACTATGTGTTTGATGCAGAGTCATTTTATTTTTGCAGTGCCACTAAATCTTTTTTGTGTATGCGCAAAAAGAAGACTTTTCTACTTTTCTCATTGACCTTTGTGTCTTGGCGTTTGTTTGTTGCAGTGACTTAATTTATGGTTCAATGCTTATTTCTGAAATTTCAGGAGAAAAAAAACACCTTGGAAAATCTTGTTATTGTACAAAATGTTGTCTTTGGTGTACAGCAATCAAAGGAAAGACAATTATTTAACAATCTTCTTAGCTTAGTGTGGTTAAGCTGCATCTATACTAAAATTGGATACAAAAATAACTTTTAAACTCATGCCGCTAACACTCAGACAGGGCTTCCTGGATTGTATGTCTTTGTCTTTACAAAATCTGGTACACTACCCTCCTTGTGGATGTGATTACCTGTCTTGGCCTGCTGTTTGTCTGAGTGTGTTTCCCTGTCCAGGTCAGGTATATGGAGAGAAGCACTCAAAGTCTCCAGCTTTGTCCACCTGGGGAGACCCTGTGTTGCTGAAGACAGAAGTGCAGCTCACTGCCTCTGAAGGTAAGTGACAGTTCTAAAATGCTTGGAAAAAGACTGGTTGAGTGAGAATTGGGATGAGGGGGTGGGGATAGCAGGATAGCAGATGTAGAACAGAACAATAAATATAAACATAAATATTTTGGGGGTCGGTGAGGCCAGTGGCTGCAGATCAGAGATGTGAAGCTCCAGATCCAGAGACGTCCGCGAGAGAACAAGCACAGGACATTAGGGGAAACACAGAGTTAATGATATGTAATGGTGATATATAAATGTATGGAAGGAAGAGAGAGGAGAGTAGAGATTAGGAGCTCTGTACATCATTGGAACCCCCCGACAGTCTAAAGCTATAGCAGCATAACTAAGGGACACTTCAGGTGATCCTGAGCAGCCCTAACTATAAGCTTTATCAAAGAGCAAAGTTTTAAGCCTCACTTTAAAAGTAAAGAGCGTCTGCCTCACAGACCCAAACTGGGAGCTGCATGCTGTTTTCAGAAGTTAATGACCAGCTCATTTGTTTTTCTTGAGTTCCAGTTGTTTAGTCCAGAATGCTATACTATAATTAACAAATAAAAGTGAAGGTTTATTACAAATCCATAGCAAACTGAATGCAATTATCGATCCTGCAGAGGCAGAGTGCCACTGGGCAGACACCGAGCTGAACAGGAGGAGGAAACTCTTCTGCAGCAAAGTGGAAGGATATGGAAGTATCTGTAGTTGCAAAGACCCGGCACCCATTGAGTTCAACCCTGACCCGGTAAGACATGCAGGACAGCTCTTTATTTCACTCTGTCTTACTTTTCATATTTTTGGCATCACTGGTCAAAAATTCCATACTAACCTTTCAGCATCTTGTCATTCAAGTGGTCTGGGATTAAGCTAAACTTCTGCACCTCCTTCAGGCTCCTTTTATGGAGCTTTAGAAAATCTAAGACTGAATTTGAATTCCAGATGATGCCACAAATAAATGCAGACTTTTTGCTTGACTATCTTTTGGCATTCGAAGTGTATATTCATCTGCTAGGAGGGGCTTAAAACAGAGAGAGGAAAACATAGAGTTGTGGGAGGAGGGCTGTATATTTTAAAATTGTGTTGTTATTTCTATTTTTTTTCCAGAGTTTTGCCTGCTAAAGCTGTAAATTTTTGATAATATAAGATCGAAAACATTTCAGTTTACTACAGTGCATATTGAACCTTGTTTACGTAATTACTACTGTTTAGAAATAATGTCAGCTTGTGATGGGATCACACCAGTCGCAACACCCGTCAAGATGCACTCAGTTAATAATGTAGTAGTTACTATATTGCTACTACAGTAGTAATTACATGATATGCTTGAGGGAGCGGTGCTATTGGGTTGTATCACACCCGCCTTCTACCTTGGGTGGAGCTGCTATGGTAAGCAACATATGTGATGAAGTCGCATCTTGTATCATTAATAAACTTTAAATAAGGAAGTCTTGGTTCCACTATAAGATAAAGGCATAGGCGTGAAGTGCAATACGTTAACTGCTATATGTATTCTTAGATTTAAGCTTGATGTATACCTAAGCCACATACCCTACAATGTAGCCTGATGTTTTACCTTTCCAAAAATGTGCAAGGTGTGTCAGAAAAGTTTCAGGACTGGTCTCACAAAAGATATATTTCAAATCCAAACTACAAGTTTTCCCCTTTGATGTAATCCTCCTGGAGTCTTACACACTTTCCCAGCCTTCTCGGCCGTGTCACAGCCATCTTGATGTCGTCCACGCCTTCAAAATGGGTCTCCTTGATGACCCCCTTCAGCTTAGGGAAGAGAAAAAATATCCCACAGAGCCAGGTGAGGTGAGTAGGAGGTTGCTCCAGCACAGCGATGTTCTTCTCAGCCAGGAACTGTCAGATGCTCAGGGCATTGTGAGCAGGCGTGTTGTCATGGTGAAGCAGCCACAACTTGTTCTGCCACGACTCTCTCCTCTTCTCGCTCACTGGACAAAGCAATCGCCACAGGATCTCTTTGTAGACGTGCTGGTTGATTGTCTGAAGGGAAAAAAAACTCATAGTTTGGGTTTGAAATGTATCTTTTGTGACACCAGTCCTGGAACTTTTCTGACACACTTTGTATCTATGTGTCCTGGCAACACGGCATGTTGATTTGTGCAAAGATAATGCTTGTGTAACAATATGTAATGAGCCGTAATTCTTGCTCATAAGGCAAATGTAAGGCAATGTACCCACATGCCGTTTTCTGATTTTAATAGCTCTACCAATGCAACAATATGCATGCTATTTCAGCAGCCATGACCTAGTGTTTTGGCAGTTTAACAGCACAGTGACACAGACACAGCAACGCAGAAGTATAAAAGCTCACAAAGTCATAGGCCACTTGCTTAAACTACAGTGTAGGCTCTGCATAGATTCAACGTAGAAGTATAAATCAAGCTTTAAAATCGTCAAGTTACATTACTGCATATCTCATTACCTGCTTAATCTGATGTGTACTGGTATTTTTTTATTTCATGCATACATAGACCTATTCAATTTTTGCACCTCCTTTCAGCTCCCCAACAATAAAGTCTTCAATGTACCAGTCGCCGTCATCGCAGGGAACAGACCCAACTATCTCTACCGGTAAGATCTGAAGAGTAATGGTATGGGTTTTTTCATCCTTTTTCTATGGAAGAAAATGGAAGTTGTGGCAACGTAATTCATTTGTTATATGCTGCATACAGGGAAGATTTCTTGTTGGGTTTTTGCTTGTCATGTATAGTACATTACATGCTTGCTCGTTATTTCATAGATAAATTGCACTTTAGCACGTCTTATTTTTACCCATAAACAAATACAGATAAATGAACCCTATACACAGTAGATGTTGCTGGATTGCAGGATCAAAAATGTCAGTGGCACCCCTCCCTTAGAAATCCATTTGGCAATCATTTAAAAGAATAATACAATTTACTGTGAAATCACATGGTCAGTACTTTGATACAGAACCAAGTAATAAATTACTGTCTGTTTTCAGGATGCTGAGGTCACTTCTTTCAGCTCATGGTGTGAACCCGCAGATGATCACTGTCTTTATTGATGGATATTATGAGGTAACATTGTTTCCCCTTCCCCTTTTTTTTTTTAAATAAAAAAAAAAAAAGTTTTGGTGCTGTTTAGTACACCATATAAGGCCCTACAGCTGGGTGTTGAACTGAAATACTCTCCCAGAAATAGTGAGAAGTGCAGTGAAAGTCAGATTGCATTGTGATTTTCCATCGGTCATTCTTACTATGTACATTCTTTATCTTAAGACCAGAAAAACACATTCAAACCATATGAGCACATTTGTTAAGGAATAAAATAAAATTATCACAAAAGTTGTTCATGCTTATTTTCTCAACAAAACTCCTTAAGTTATCAAGATTCTTATTTAATTGGTCTCTGCAACGTTGCTTCATTCTATTTTATGGCAGCTTAAAGAGCCCCTCAAATGTGTACTTAAATATTTTTGTCTTTTTGAAACAGGAGCCAATGGATGTTGTAGAGCTGTTTGGACTTAAGGGAGTTCAGCACACCCCAATCAGCATCAAGAATGCCAGAGTGTCCCAGGTAAAAAGCAGCCAGCTCTTCATTCAAGGATTAACACCTAATTCATAACAATCATTCAGAGCAATCAGATCATAGAGTTTCACTCAAAAAGAGCCAGGTATTTTGTTAATTTAACCATTCCATAACATTCTCAGCAAGACTTTGTTTCCTTTATATTTATCGCTGAATTGTCATGTGGATGAAAGTTTTTAGGTTCAACATGATTTCAAGATATTAAGGGAACTTAGACCTCTAACTGTTTACTTTTGTTTCTATTGTGAAAATCAGCACTTTGTTTCTATTCTCAACTGCAGCACTACAAGGCGAGTCTGACTGCAACCTTCAACCTTCACCCTGTAAGCATCATTTCCAAACACTGTACTATGACATATAATGACAGTTTTTTTACTCTGCAATTTTACTTAGAATTTTCAGCCCATTGATTAACTGATTGGAGCAGTCAATAATCATTTGGCTTGTGGGTTGCACTGCATTGAGTAGCTCCCCTGATAGCACGAATCCCATCATGCATTTTTTTTTTTTTCATTCAGGATGCTGGTTCTGCGATTGTACTTGAAGAAGACCTGGATATTTCCATTGACTTCTTCAGGTATGTCCTAAAAACTGCCCAACTACTTCTAAAGACAGGCAGATAATAGTGTAATTATTATCTGTATATTTGAGTAGCAAAATAGAATAATGTAATCGCCATATATCAAGCAAAGATACCAAGGGTTTGATGGTTTATTGTTTACAGTGTTTTGATGATTGACTGGAGGTTACACTAATATGTAACTGTAGATGTATAATTTAATTCTAAATTAATTTGATGCTATTGTTGTGGAAATTCTGTAAGAGGTTGATGTAGGATGAGGAGCACGACACAGAGACACACCGCAGACTCAGATGACTTAAGTTGAAATAAGGTTTACTGAATTCAGGAGAAGCGACACTAACAGAACAGCGGTTCACGCACGCAATGCCAGCATTAATTCTAAAGATCCCTCTCACACCTTTAGCCTTATATCCTCCTTCGATGGGAGCCACATCCAGATTTACGGGTTAAAGGCAAACAAAGATAAACCAATGCCTGGGTATAGTCTGGCCTAGAGAGGTGCAGGCAGAGCCTGCGAGGGACAGGCAGTGCCCGTCTGTCCTCCTACAATTAGGTTTGCGTGAGGTCAAGAATGTATAGAAAAGATCCAGAGCACACATCTGCTACAAGCACTACATTTACCTAAAGAGGTCAATCAGGGTTCAATATCTTTTCTAAAGGATTAACTCCAAACCATGAAAATATTTTTTCCTTCAGAGCTATGGTTCTTTCTGGATCTACACTCCACACTGTCAACAAAGAAGGCCGGTTAACCCATTCCTCTGTTATAGTCACCACTAGGTGACAGTAGAATCACAATGCTGAAGCTCCCAGCTCTGTTAAAATGTCCAACCGTTCTTTGTTGGACAGACTCCACTTTAAACTTTGTGTTTGCTTTAGTTTAGGCTCCAGCATTCCTACTGGACTGACTGATCTATTAGTTGAGAAGCACTTGCAGCCATCATCTCATTCCATTTTAATGTCTATTTGCTCTTTGAAGAATGACTTCAGGCTTTCATTTTAGCGTTTCGAGAAAGCATGCTCTTCTGCTGGAAAAGACAGACCTGTTTTTTTTATTAGGTTTAATTGTAGATACGCTGCAGTGCCAGTGAGCTTTGTCCCCAGTTCAATTTTACCAGCATGAAATCACAGAAATAAGAAATCATCTTAGTTGTGAATAAACGATTTCTTCTGGTGTCTTTTGTTAAAATTGTTAGATTTCTTCAACCAACCAAATACTTCCCTGTTATTAAGGTGCTGACTGTGTACTGACCTGCTTCTGTACATGTAGGGTCCATGTGAACTTGACTTTTGACAAGCACAGAGGAACTCTACTGAAAGCAACTCTTAATGCTGCAGCCTAAAGTGATTTTTGACAAGCGTGTTCAGCTTTTTATCAACAGTTTGTTCCTTTCCTGTTTCAACATGACAGTTACCTTGTGTGTAAATTCAGCCTGACAAAGGAATGGTTTTCCCACTTTGGTCTTAAGGACTTCACTGGCCCAGTTAGAGCTCTGATCTCATCCCTGCCTAGCATCTTTGAGATGAACAGGAACGCTGACTGCAAGTTAGGCCTTGTGACCCAATATCAGTGCTGGACCTCACTAACACTCTTGTGTCTGAATGGGAGCAAATTCCTGCTATCCACTGTCTGATCTAAAGATGAAACAAGAAACTTACCTCAATACTGCCCATGTTCAGGCATTACATGTATGTAATGTTCAGGTGTCTGTGTGTTTTGGACCATTTTGCAGGTGTTGAGTGGAACATTCTTGTTGGATTTAAAAGAAAAACATTTTAATTGTAATGATTTAGTCTTTAAAAGGAATTTTTCTTTTTTTTTCTTGTCAGTTGCAACGAGATTTTTTAATGTTGATACTGGTGTTAATACTGATGTAGCTTCTTTCACTAATGTTGATGTTCTTTTTTCTGCAGCTTCCTGAGTCAGACCATCGAACTTTTGGATGAGGATGACAGTCTGTACTGTATCTCAGCCTGGAACGACCAGGTGACTGTGGACTGCTTCATTTTCCTTCTTTTGTATAGCTCCTTTTGTTTAACTCTTTTCTGTGACTTAAACGATTGCTAGGACTCACCATTGTTTGGCTTGTAAATGTAATTCATCTATGAACTCTCGTCCAGACTTGTTGAAGTGACACACAATGAAACAAGTCACCCAAATAAAAAACACAATTTGAAAACTCATCAGACATGCTGATAGGTAATTAAATAATAGTTAAGTAATAGTTGCCTCACAGCTAGAAGGTTGCCGGTTCGCGTCCCGGTGGGGGCACCGGAATCTTTCTGCGTGGAGTTTGCATGTTCTCCCCGTGCAGCGTGGGTTCTCTCCAGGTTCTCCGGCTTCCTCCCACACAGTCCAAAAACATGTTAAGGTTAATTGGTGATTCTAAATTGTCCGTGGGTGTGAGTGTGAGTGTTCTTGGTTGTCTGTCTCTAAGTGTGGCCCTGCGATGGACTGGCGACCTGTCCAGGGTGTCCCCTGCCTTCGCCCTAAGTCAGCCGGGATAGGCTCCAGCCCCCCCGCGACCCTAGTGAGGATTAAGCGGTGTATAGATAATGGATAGTTATAGCTGAAGTTGTGCACAATCTAAACATGAAGGAAGAGATTACAATTCTAAGGTTTGGGAAGCTAAGGAGAAACCAAGCCTGTTTTTTCTATTGCACTGAAAGAGCTCGACAGGGCCTCATGCATTTGTCTTCTTTAGAAAAAACCCACATGCAGATTTTAAGCACACAGAAAAAGTTCCAGATGTTATTGATACCAGCTGTTGTTGTTTTTTGTTGTGTAGGGCTATGAGCACACAGCAGAGGATCCGGCACTTCTCTACAGGGTGGAGAGTATGCCTGGTCTGGGTTGGGTGCTGAAGAAGAGCCTCTACAAAGATGAACTGGAACCAAAGTGGCCAACACCTGAGAAGGTGCAGGAGTTATCTTTTCTGTATTTAAGAAATTCAGTCAGTGCATTTGGATGTTTACAGGTTACAAGTCAGGCATATTTTACCTGCCTGTGTTCCTGTCTGATATTAGTTTCCCTTAGATACTGTGAAACCTACATAAACACACTTCTCCAATGGAACAATCATGTCATGCTGTGTCTGCTGGATAAACTACCATTAAGCTGTTTATATAACCAAAATAAATTTGTAAGGGGATGTTACATTATTGCTGTTTTACAACTTACAATGCTTGTGATTTCATTTAAAAAAAAATCTAATTAACTGAAACCAGTTCCAATATAAAAATGTTTCTGAAAGACCATTGTGTTATTGATCCATATTATTAATGTGTGAAAAATATGTGTACTATTTTGTGTTTTGTAGCTGTGGGACTGGGACATGTGGATGCGAATGCCGGAACAGAGGAAAGGCAGAGAATGCATCATCCCTGATGTGTCCCGCTCCTACCACTTTGGTATCATCGGCCTCAATATGAACGGCTATTTCCATGTCAGTTCTGAGAAAAATGTTCTATTTAGGATCAGTTCTGTATTACGTATATATTAACAGACACAAGAAGTAAATATAAAAAACAGACAAAATGCGTGTGTGCGGGTACACACAATTTGTTCGTTAGAAGAAAGGTTGATTAGTGCACACCTGTACAAAGTACGACACCTGTCCATACGCTCACTCTGCAGTCATCCTGAGTTACACTCACACAGCTATCCGTATATCTTCAGTAGCCAAGGATTAATTATTGAGGAAACTGTTTGTAAATGTACTCAAGTTTATTAGACATACACATATGTGTATGTCAGATATTTATATAGAGAGACCATATTCATGATGTTATTTTTAAGTAATACAAGGTATCTGCAAACTCTACCTTTATTTATGAAACAGATTTTAAAAAACTGCAAAGTGATTATTTTTTTGTTGAAATAACTTTCACATGATGTGTTGTTGTTGCGGTAAAATCATTATGTGGAAAATGTTATTCATTTCTGATGTAATTAATCATTTGTTTGCCTGATCATATTGCTAAACTTGTCTTTTCTGTCCTGTAGGAAGTGTATTTCAAGAAACACAAGTTCAACACTGTTCCCAATGTGCAGCTGAAGAATGTTGACAGGTTTGTACACACAGGTGATGTGAAGAAATGCTAGTTTTATCTGAAAAGTTCAGTTTACAACAGGAGAAACTACACCCCTGTTCAATATTACTTAGATGTCAAATTATTCAAAGTTGTCTCACATTTTTAATAACTTATTTCGAAGCTGAACACTGCAGTATTTCCTCTTGTGAAAAATGAAAACACAAAAGTTTGAAATGACTATATTGAAAATGTAGAAACTCTGTGCATGTGTGAAGACTGACACACAAGTTAAAAAGCCAATTTTTATTTAAACAAAATTGAGTGCACCTGTGATTTCCAGTTAGTTGCATGAACATGGTTGTAAAATGAGCTGTGAACACCAGAACTTTCTCCTTTTTGGATCTATGGGCTGTGTCTTGCTGCATGATTGCATCACTGCACCATGGGAAGAAGAATTGCCAGACACACTTAAAAACAGTGAGAAAACAGTGAACAGGGGGTTTTAAAATGAGCTATAAGCCACCAATCAGAATCAGAATCAGAAATACTATATTGATCAGAGCTGCAGTGGCCATCCTGCTAAATGGCACCATAGACAGTGTACTATATGCACAATATCACTTTGAAAAACAGACTAGCAGGGCTTCAGACTTGGCACAACGGTTATTAATGAAAATCCAAGTTTGTGTGGACAGTGTGAAGAACATTGCTTAACATCATCCTTCATGGACTGTGTCCAAGAAAAAAAACCCTTGCTTGCTATTTGGTACAAAACTGCAATAGAATAGTTTGCTGAAAATATTAAAAGCACATTCTTTGGTCAGATGAGAACAAGATAAATTTGTTTTGCTAAGATGGGGTCCAGCATGCTTTGTATGAACCTGACCAGGACTACCACAGTGAATGCATTGTCTTGACAGTGAAGCACAGAGGTGGAAGTGTGATGATATTGGGCTGCAATAGGTGCAAAAGGTGTTTGCGGTTAGGGCTGGGTGTATGATATTTTTAGATAGCACCATGAATGCCTGTGGAAGTACTGGCAAGATGCCTTTAAAGTGAAAAATTGAGCCAAAAGAGTCATCTCATTAGAATGGCAGAACATCTCTGGTATCCTCCATGCCTGGTAGAATTGAGCCTGTCATCAAAATTAAAGGTGGAAAAGAAAAAATAAGAGGTCTAAATGTCAGTAATGAAAGGTGTATTATTTATTTTGAACAAGTTTCTACTGTGGGGCCTGTATATTAAATATAGTAAATCCAAACTGTTAGTTTTTAATTTGACACGAGGTACAAATACGTTAGTGTTTAACTTAACTTTGGGGTGTATTTGGCAACATGGTGACAGTCTTGGTGTTGTGCTTCACAGCTTGAAGAAAGATGCTTATGAAGCTGAGATCCAAAACCTGCTCAAGTAAGTAAAATGTTTTGTTGCTGTGGTAATAAAGCAGAAAAATGGGTGGCATGGTTGATGTGATGGTGTGTGTGTGTGTGTGATCCCAGAGAGGCCGAGGTGCTGGACCACACTAAAAACCCATGTGAGGATTCTTTCCTGCCAGACTATGAGGGGAGAATCTATGTCATGTTCATTAAGATGGAAACTGAGACAGACACATCTACTTGGACAGAGCTCGCCAAGGTACGCATATTTACATTATGGTCATGAATACTTGTTTCCCCAGTTTTTGACAGATGAAATTAGCCCTACCCTGCCACAAGGAACAGATTAATTGCCTCTCTTTGCCATCTGTTCAGTGCCTGCATGTTTGGGACCTGGATGTACGGGGATACCACAGAGGCCTGTGGCGGCTCTTCAGAAAAAGAAATCATGTCTTGGTTGTGGCTGTGCCCATCTCCCCATACTCGTAAGTAATGTTTAAATGGAATGTGTGTTTGCATAAATGTTGGAATCTGCATAATGTCAATTATGCCATGGCCACGCCTGTGTGCAGACCAAAATTTGACATGCAAAATGAGCCTTTAAGAAGATGTCCAGCTATGCAAAAACCCAGTATTGTATAAACAGGACACTGTATGTGTTTACTTTTACCTGTGTCATGCTGCTATACATGCATAGTTGCAATAGCTTTGTTTCACCCTCATGTTTCAAAGACCACCTTAGAAACTAGAGAGATCAGGTACATGACATGTTATATGCGCTTTGTTAATAACAAGTTATCTGTGCAGCAATGCACTTCATGATATGTAGAAGCTGCAGTCCTCTGTTGGTGTTGATACTTTTAGGAGCTGATCTCCAATGCACTACAAGTATTTTGCAGTGCTCACAGCCCATTACATGAACAGTTACATTGTTCGAATTTTGTTTTTTATTAGAACATGTCATTTATGAGTTAGTTTAATTATGTTTTAGTCATTGTATCGTTGCTTACCTTGAAGCTAAGTGGTCTATAAGTAAGAACTTCATCGGAAGAGAGTGTCTTGTTGTTATGCTGCAGCCACAGTTGTAACATAGAAAGCCAAGCAGAGGCAAATCCGAAGTGTATCGATTCATTCAGACACAAATGAAATGGATGACAGAAAAACATACAAAGAGAGAGCCTGACGGCACTTCCTTGGGAACAATCCTCAGTAAAGGAGTCTCGATAATGCCAAGTAATCACAAGCTTAAGAATTGTACATGATTTAATTTGCATTTACAATATCCCCACTTATGGAGGCCTAAGAACTGATGTGAAATATGACTCAACATGCTAATCCTCCTGTCTCCCATTTTTTTTAGCCTGGCTTATACACTTGGATGACTTTTGTCTGTTATAAAATGTATACAGTAATATAGTGTTCAGAAACAGGAACACATCTCAACATTTGCTAAAAAAAACACCCAAAAACCTCAGAACATGTTTAGTTACAAAAAAAATATCAAAACTTCATAGAGTATAAAAGATGCATGGCCATAATGATACTGATCACAAACACAACAAATACATCTTGCTCACTCCTCTTATCTTTTAACGCTGCCTGTCTACTCTCTGTTTCTAGCCCCTTATCTGTTATTCTGTTTTTAATTTGTGAACAGTGTCAAGAAACCAGCCAGTGTCACTCCAATTCACTTAGAGGCTCCTCCCAAGGAAGAGGGAGCACCGGTGGAACAAATCTAGACCTGGTGTTACATTTACAGACACAAACATTTCAACCAGCCCGGGCCTTAACACTTTGTTTATTCTCTCCAACAACAACGATAATAATCCAGCCTGGGGCCAACTGCTGTCAGCCTGACTCCTAGATGTGTGTACAAGAGAATACTCTGGGACTTTACAACCTAAACGATGAGTGACTGTCAACAGCTGTCCTTTCCATTTCTGTGACAACTGTGGGTTGATCCATGGCGAATTTTGATTTCACGTTTTTGACAAAAATGGTACAACTGATGCACTCTCAACATAATTTAGTCCGTTTTTGTATTTTTTCACTACTGAATGCGCTATCCATCTTGTATATATCTTTTAACTTATCTCTATTTATTTTACATCAATTAGCCAGGTTTTAGTGGTTTGTTTGCTTTTTTCAAAAGAAAATCCACTCATCGAGATCAGTGCTTTTTTTAAGAGCCTAATGTTTACAGATAATGAAATATTAATGTACATACATGTCTATATATTTTTTAATGAAAATTTAAAGGGTCTGCATATTTTTCAGAGTCAGATACAGAGTGAAAAAGCCCTGTGGGTTTTTACTGTTATTGACTGCTTGGGTCAGTTGCCTCAGATAAGTTTTAATGAGGGAATGTGAATGGTGCCTGAGAGACAGAGAGCTAAGAAATTTTTACAGTTTTAATCAAGTACATTGTAAAAACGGTAGCTAAGAAACACATAATGTGTACTCTGATCCCAGTGACTGATTATAGTAGATAGTGCAAACAGAACAAAACGGAAAGAGCTTCTGGCTGGACATTTACTAGAGCTGGGTATTGTACATGGACAAAATGTTTTTTTTTGGGGGGGGGGGGTTGTTGTCAAAAGGAGGAAAGTAAAGTAACCTTTTCTGCACTTTTTGGTTATATTTAGGCAAAGTTTACAGACAATCTTGCATCCATCCCGAAATAAACACATATTACACTCAGCTTTATTATAGATTCTAAAGAAAATTAAACATTATTGTCATGGTCAAAGGTCTCACAAGTCTCTACGGTACAACTGGATGAAGATAGATGACTTGAGAAGCGTGGAAACATCCCTTAAGCTTTTTATCATGTGCCAGTACAGTGACAACAGAAGACTATATCTCTAGAATCAGTTGCCTCTGTAAACTATGCTCATTACACAATTAAGAACATTTGAAACCTAGGCCTGCACTCAGCCAACAAAAGAATAGTGCAAAATTCAAAACTCTTCTTTTGTGTTGCTTAATTATTTACCTTTTTTTGTTTTAAAAAGTGTGCTTTTATTTAATTTTTTTTAATTATTATTATATATTTTTTTAGGTCTTGCAAGTGGAATGCTGCCTACAGGTTTTAATGCACGTATGTGTTAATACTATGTGTTTTTTAGTTGACTTGATTTCTTGGTGTGCGTATCAGTTTTCATGTCTCAACCACAGTTGAAGCCAAAGGCTTGCCCAGCTTTCATCTTCAGTACGTAGAGATCAGCGAGGAAAATTTGTTTCAACAGAACAGAAAAATCCTCATCTCAGTTCTGCCGAGTTACTGCTTGCCAGAAGTACCCTTCTGTGTTTTATTACTTGAAGCAACTGCTGTGATTGATCAGATATTATCAGCATGAACTCGTAATTGTTACACATCTTTTTTATTTGTTTTGTTGTCTCATTGTACTGCCCTCCATTTCAGAGTGGTGGAAAGGTTGATAGGTTTGTTTTAGCATTGTCAGACAGATTTATTGCCTTAAGATGAAACTGTGAAAATTTGCTCAGAACCTGAGCGTTTTTCAAAATACAAGTTGTTCTCTCGTAATCATGCGATACAAAATACTTACTGATGAAAGCAATGTATACGATGTTTATCAGAAAGAGATTGGTAAGCATAATCACTTTTAAACCATGAGTCATATTTATTTTATCAGTCTTTAGCATTCAAGATCAGTGTGTTAACGCATACAGAGATGAAAAATTTATTACAACCTATTAATTGTGTTTGTATCCGTCAACAGCTATAACTCCTATAAAACATGTTATAAGTGCTTTACAGATAATGGATATTTGAACTGATTCTAACATAGCTACAAACAGCTATTTTGAGTGTGTCTGTTCATACACGTTGGCGAGCATTTGTGATTTTTTTACTACACCAATAATGGCTGCTGCATACAAAAAGGTGTAGTTGATTTCAAATAGGCATTTGCATATTGCGTGTTTATATCAGATTAAAAGTACGATTGTTTTACTTATAAATTATTTACCAGTCATTGATATACTGATTATTAATGCTAATTATGATAGATTCAAATAAAGTGCTCCCAAAATATGAATAAAGATCTTTTCAGCATCGGTATCAGTTGATTTGTAACCATGTCAAACTAAAAGAGAAGTGCTGTTATCTCAAGCAAAAACGCTGCAGTCCAGTTCCTTTCAGATCAGGCAACACCGTACCAACTGCATGAATGTGTGTGTAAATCACATAATAATGTTGCTCAATTAGTATCTGCAGTCTTTTGATTTTAAGGTGTGTACTTGTGTATTGAGGCCTACCACATGTTTAGTATTTGCAGTCAGACAGTGCTATCAGACGGAAACACTACATACAGAAGCATTGCAGCATGTGTTGTGACTGAATTCCAATTCATTAATGTACCACAGGATTGAAAAAAATGATGAAGGAAAATCTACCAACTTTTTAACCTAAACTTTATTTTTTGTCATTTCACTTTACAGTGGCACACTTGCTTCTCTGAGTTTAGAAAAAAAAAATAAATTACCTGAAACTATTGTTCCCTCAGCAATACGGTTTGCTTTGTCCAAAGCTGTGATATAAACTGGAAAAGTGGAACGTACTTTGTATGACTGACAGTAAGGATTCTGTGACGTATTGTAAGTTTTAGATATGATTTGACAGGAATGAATTCCTTTATCTTGGAAATTAATAAAGATATTTTTTACTGATTTTTGGAGGTTTTTTTTCTCTTCAAGACCATATTGTATGTTCAAAAAATATAAACTTGGGGCTATAGTTGAGCTTAGCTCAGGTTTCTGTGCTTGTGTGACCTTGTGCTGCCTCTCAATTTCCCACAAGACCTTCAGGCAAAGCAAGGGTGAGAGGAAACCCACATGGCAAGGGAAATGTATGCAAATCCTCAGGACTCAGTGGATTTCTCCATGCACTGTGGTAGACCAAGGAGAAAGGGGGCTTTCTGCTCTTTGAGTTCTGACTTTCACAGCCTGTGATTTAAGGTAAATGATCAAAGTCAAATTATTAGTACTCTTTGGTTCTATAAGATCTGACTAATCTGACTGATCAACAGCTTCAACAGCATTCATTCATTTAGGGATGGACTTGTCCACATTTTAGCACCAATATTTGTCAAAAAAACATCACAGAGACCTTAATACACAGTTGGTGTGCCACAATCACAACACAACTCATTTGGCTCTCCAATTTCACATTTATTAGGCTACAAAATGAGAAGTCAATAACAAAACTTTGCTGTGACAAAAACTCACAGCTGAAAGATTAGTGATACCAATAATAAATGTAATTGGAGTGTTTTTACCCACAAGATGAGCAGAAGTTTGTTCCTTTCAGCTGTTAAAAACTATTGCCTATGAGTTTTTGAAATACCTGCAACATCGGACAGCAGTCAGATCCATAAATACATTTTCAAAAGAAGAGATTTGTGCAAGTAGATCATGTAGAAAGCTTTATTCAATTATTTTAAATATCATTAATCCTCAAGAGATTGTGGAGAGTGTATCAGTTTGGGTCAGGATCTGATAGCAAGTCATACTAGTCCCTTTCAGACAGGAAAAAATGGAACATTGCTGAGTTCATCAATCTGTTAAGTGACAACATTCTCATCATTCTGACATACAAGGGTACTTCAAAAAGTTCTTGGCCTTCCCTGGAAACAAGGTGCGTAACTCCCATTTTGCAGTGTAACTTTATATTATAAAGACTTATATTGCTTGTGACAAAAACTCAAATGTTCTAAACAATCAAAGAAGAAAGAAGAGGAACACTTTGAGCTCGAGTCCTGTTACTCCGGGATACCGTACCTGCCCACACAGCACAGGTGGCAGAGGCAGCCAAACATGGCTTTGAACTGTTGCTCTATGCACCTTACTTACCAGACCTGGCACCATCTGACCTCTGTCTGTTTTTCCCAAACTGAAACCTCCCTTGCATGGTCACCAGTTTTAGAGTGATTATGGAGTCATCGATGCCGTTGAGGAGCACCTGGAAGTGCTTAAGATGTGACCTTCTTCCAGGAAGGGATAGTGAAGCTTGAACATAGGTGGACCAGCTTATCACTAATTTCCTAAATAATTAAACTAAACGCTGCAGCTGATAAAATGTAACGATGTGAGAGGTCACCTGTCTGAGATGAAGAAAAGTTCACAGTGTGACTTGCTGTTAGATCCTGATTGATTCTTTTTCCACACTGAGGACAATATATGATTAAAACTAACAAATGAAGCACAGCTCTCTCTTTGGAGACAATAAACAAACTTGGAGAGAATAGTTCTAAACACCTGAAAGGAACAAACTTAAGAAATCACATACTACCTGAGCTGTTAGTCATTTGACTGCTTTGATAAGCTACTAATTCACAAGTGTCCCCACAAGCAGGCTGGCTCTTTGCTGGAATTGGCAGATGGAAGAAGGGAAGAAGGATGTTTCCCTCTGTTTAAAAAGGCTGCTCACTTCCACTGGCCCAGTTTTGGAGCAGCAGTTCCTTCCCATGGACCAAGGAGGGAGCTGCACCTATTCTGGCATCATTCCTCCTTCGGTCACACACAGGCTGACAATAGGAGAGAGAGATATCTACAAGATGAACACAGAATGACCTAGGGTCATAACACTAGAATGCTGTCACTTTAACTGATTGATGAAGCCAGCAGTTGACCATGTTCCATGTCTGAAAAAGGGCTGAAGTAGCATTGTGATAGTGGGTAAACATAGCTTTAGAACAAAGCAAAAGTGTCAGAAGAGAAATTGTTTTTCTAAACACCACCAACCATCATTTTTATTTTCACTATCAAATCATGATAGGGGCTGGACATGAAATTGGACATGGTCTTCAGGCATGAAGATATGTGGGGTAAGTACAGCATAGAAGAGACTGCTTTGGGCTTGGTACAAGTAGACCCATATGGCACAGAGCAACAGCTGCACAGAAGATAGAGCTGATAGTAAAAGAGACATGGCAGCAGGAGGAGGAAGAAAAGAAGTCTCAGAAAAAACAAGGCCAATGGCCAAAATGGGAAAATTGGAAGCTGACCTGGAAGGATCTTTGGGATGTGGAAGGAGGCGAAATTAGCTGTACTGTCTGAGCTATCTATGATGTTCTTCCTAGTCCCAAGAACCTAAAATAGTGGCTTAGGTATGACTCAATATGTCCCCCTTGTCAAACACAAACACCAGCAATCCTACAGCACATACTTACCTGCTGCAAGACTAGCATTACCCAAAGGCACAACCAGATCCTGGCACTTGTGCTGGAAAAAAGGACTTATAACAATGCTGTCTCTCTCAGCTGAAGTCCTCAACTGAGCAACTAAAACAGAACAACTAGACTTGAGAACACAGGTGTTCCTTGTGTAGGTTGGTTGCTGGGTTTCTTGGCCATGTGTCACTACCTGGCTGCTGAGGGACAGCTAGAGCAGCAACAGTAATTAGCGAATATCCATCCATCCATTATCTATACACCGCTTAATCCTCACTAGGGTCATGGGGGGCTGGAGCCTATCCCAGCTGACTTAGGGCGAAGGCAGGGGACACCCTGGACAGGTCACCAGTCTATCACAGGGCTACACTTAGAGACAGACAACCAAGCACACTCACATTCACACCTACGGACAATTTAGAATCACCAATTAACCTCAACATGTTTTGGACCTTATGGGAGGAAGCCAGAGAACCCAGAGAGAATGCACGCTGCACGGGGAGAACATGCAAACTCCACACAGAAAGATCCTGGGTGTCTTCAACGGGACACGAACCGGCGACCTTCTTGCCACGAGGTAATGGTGCTAACCACCGCTCCACCTTGCAGCCCTCATTAGCAAATATGTATGACAGAGGCTTACTACTGTATGTATTATTGTAGACTGCTGCTGGATGTCACTATTTTGGGGTTAATTCACCCTCAGCTATGTCTGTCAGGCATCTGTCTTAATGCATTTGAATGGCACAGCTATCACTGTGGCTGTAGACATGGCTGTGCTTTGGTTAAAATTCTGGCTGTGACACATTCCATTTAAATAATTATAACAAGTTGGTTTTGCTGGCTGAGGCTACTGTATTCCTTCACTCCTGGGGCTAAAAAACTAAGGAAAAGAGAGAAAGTGTTGAACAATCTCAGGATCCAAAAAAGAAAATCCGAGAATGATCACATAATAATGCATGTAATGAATGTTTGGAACATTTTATTGACAAATTTGATATATTTACATTTTGTAGATGCTCTTGTAACTTCTTGTTACTCGTAAAAGAACATTATAAGAAAGTATCTTTAACATTCCTGAAAGAAAACAATAAAGAAAGAGAATATGAGTGACAGAATAAAAAGACCTCCTTAAATATTGATTTAAACACTAAATTACATGATCCATCATTGTCATGCCCATTATGGTTTCTGTGAAGGAGCCTCAGTTGACTCTGCTGTCCAGGTGACAGTACAAGTACATGGACACGATCATGGCAGCAATCTAGAGAAACAAAACAACTTATGATTACAAAGACAATACTGAAAATGATTATATTTACTTAAACCAGGCTGGCTGTGTGGTTAATGAACATTGTTTTGTTATCTTAGACAACATAAAAGTTAAGGTTTCTCAAGACTAGTAAAAAAAAAAAAAAAAAAAAAAAAACTTAAACCTCTTACACCCTCTTGTTCCCACAAAAAAGCCTTCACTCTAAAAATGTAAAGAGTCTAAACCACAGGAGTTAAATACTTGGAGGTTATGCTCTTGGTTTAAAGGTCACCCTGTTTCACTGCCATTCATATTAAATGCTGAATGTTTCTTCAAACTTACATTTTTAAAGTGTTAATTTCCCTAAATTTAAACAACTTATGCAGATCTGATATATCATTATATTCAGCTTCTCCTGCTGCTTCTCACTGTGTAAAATGTATGTTCTATGTGTTTTGGGTAGCTACTGTTTGACTGAGGGCTGTAATCTTTCCTTGACTTCCTCATAACTGCACAGGACTATCCAGCTCACACAGGTGTATGATGTTTGCCTAATTAGATTAGACTTTTTTGGCAAATAGCTCAGGGTCAGGTTGAAATACTGCTCTTTACAACACAACAGCCCCGAAGATGGCAAAATTTCATCTAGGGTTTTTAGGTTCTTTGATACAATTTTAAGCATCATCTTTCAGTCAAAGTGAGAACACTCACATTTTCTTGAGCATTTAAGTTTTCCTTTTCAAGTGTTTTTACCTCTAACACTCCAATGCCTGCTGCGATGCCTCCCACTATGTTGGCGTGCTCTCTGAGGGTCTCCAGGATTTGTTCAAAACAGCCCTGAGGAGACAAATATTTGTCAAATAATAAATGTCAGTTCTACACAATACACACGCTAAACAACCTGGACAGGTGCCAGTGGAGCAAAAATAAAGCTTTCACTATGTTTCAATGTATTGATCTATAAGTAAATTAGTGTTGATTGCAACTAATATAGTCAATATAGCAAAATATATCATTCAATTAAGCTATTTTTTAAATATATTCAGCAATTTCCCTGAGGTTTCCACCAAAGGGATCAGTAAAGTTCTATTCTATTCTATTCTATTCTATTCTATTCTATTCTATTCTATTCTATTCTATTCTATTCAACGATTTTTCCACTCAGTCAATTTAATTAACCAACTGGTTATATTTAATGTAAAAAATAATATATAATCTGCTATTTCATGAATTGCAATGAAATTTGCTACAGGCATTCATGTACCTGTCCAAGACTTGTAATCTCCTTGAGGATTGCCTGATTATCCGTCCAGCAACACCGTAATATCCAGTACTCTGATTTATGACCAAATAACAACCAAACTAATACTATTCCCACCAGCCCTAGCTGCATGTTGGATTTCGAGCCAGTTAGCAAAGGCTAGCATGCCTAAGCCAATGAAGATTGTAAACATTATACCCGTTAAACATCAGCATGTTAAAATTGTCATTGTTTACATGGTAAAATAGCACTGATGATACACTTTGCCTAAATGCAGTTTCTCTGAGCTATATGGCTGTCAATTTAAAATGATTATTCCACATTTAATCATAGCTGGGTAAAACTAATGCAGTCTCAAAATACAAGCATGCAATAAATCCTATCTTTAAAATTAGTGTTTGGGTCCTGGTTGTAAGTCAATAGAAAAAATAAATATAGTAAGTAAAGTAAGAAAAATTTCAACTTAATTATTTCAGATACTGTAGCTTGTGCTACTTTTACATTGTATTGGACTATACTCAGAGGAATTCCTAATATTTTGTCCTGCCCCTTTTGTATTAATGAATGTACACTATAGTTTTTCATTTGAAGATGATGGTACATGTCTACACTTCCATCATCGAGTCCATCCTCACCTCCTCCATCACCATCTGGTACACTGCAGCTACAGCCAAGGACAAGGGCGGACTGCAGCGTATCATCTGCTCTGCAGAGAGTATGATTGGCTGCAATCTGCCTTCCCTCCAGGACCTGTACACTTCCAGGACTCTGAGGGGTGCAGGTAAGATTGTGGCCAACCCCTCCCACCCTGGTTACAAACATTTTGAAACACTCCCCTCTGGCAGGAGGCTTCGATCCATCAGGACCAGAACGTCATGCCACAAGAACAGTTTCTTTCGGTCGGCCTCATGAACCCACTGGCCACAATTGACCCCAACTGACCCCCCACCCCCCTTGCCTCCATAGACTACCTGTATACATGTGAATAACTAAATTCCTACTGTTTGCACTGTCGCAGTGTTCCATTGTTATTTTTTTATCTTTTATATTTATATTACATCTTCTATTTTTTCTTTTTCTCTATATTATTGTTGCACCAACCCACCAGAACAAATTCCTCATATGGGGCAAACTATACCTGGCAATAAACCTGTTTCTGATTCTGATTCACCTGCACAGTGCTGCGCTCTGCCTCTCCTAGACTGCAGGGGGTGCTGTTGGTCCAACAGCAGCTGGACGGCAGGCTGCCTCCATTCTCCGTTACAAAAGTAGAGCCCACAAAATCAGTGTAGTTGGAGAAACCGCAACACTGCAGCTGAGAGGGGGATGAAAATACACAGTTAACACTTGACAAGAAAGTTTTAAGCAGATAATGATGGTTTGAATCTACAGTTATTATCCATTTTACTCTGCTTTCCTGTCAACTTCCTGTAAACTTTGATTAATTCCAGCTTAATAAGAACTTTTCTGCTGAATGAAATTTCAAGTTCAGGTTGTAACTTCAGATGTTGCTTTGAGTTGTTGTGCATTTATTATTATATCAAATCAGTGCTGACTGTTGTATTTACAGGTTTTGGTCTCAAAAATTCCTAAACCCTTGAACAACACTGTGGAATTATATTTGTGCCACAATCCTGAGCACGCAATGGGAAATTTTGAGCAAATAAAAACTTAAAAATCTATGAAAGAACTAAAATGCATGATTGTTTTGTTTTTTCTTTTTGTGAATTTCAATGATTCCATCACAGAATATTTAGTGTTACAGGAGTCACTAAAAATTCAAGATTGTCATGATTTACATGGTCTTCACAAGTATATGGAAACTTTTGTTCACGACTGTACATATTGTACCTCTATCATGGTGGTGTTCCAGATTTTGGTGACCACAGGATCGTTGCCATAGTCTTTCTGTAAAGCAGGGGTTGCCCACGCTCTGAGGATCCCCTCAGCCTGTGGAAAATGCATACATGTATACACACTTGTGAGGAGCCTCATTGAGATTATACATTCCCTAACCCCCGGCCTTGACACAGACCTGGGTGGAACTTCATCCCTACTAACAAAATGGGTTGAGATGTCCCCTGACGAAGGGAGCGCTGAACAAAAAGTCAAAATTGCTTTCTTTCAATGTCCTCAGTTTCCAAAAAGTATTTATGGTTTAGTTACCTACCGGCCAAAGTGCCTAATTGCTCCAAAAGATTCTAACATTGCTAAAACTTACAGTATGCCTGCACAGTTCATGTCTTGCTTTACAAAACATTCATTCTTTCCAAAAATGACCTCAACTGCAAAAACTGTCCCCACTTGAAGGTATTCTTCAAGGCCAAAATTGTCTTCACCTTCAAAACTCTTAAGTGTCTTCATTTTCCTAAATGTTCATATTTTGATAAAATGCCCTTCTCATATTCAAGTGTATCCTTATAATCTAAAATGTCCTCACTGTTTTACATGTCCTATTTTCCTGAACAGTCTTTCCATTCCAAAATATCCCCACTCTCTAAAATGTCTTCATTGTCCAAAAGGGCACAATTTTTCTTAACTGTTGTTACTGTCCATCCAGAGTTTTCATTCTGTTCCCTTCCTGACATGTCCTTATTATTGAAACGATTAATATCCCAGTTGTCCAAAAACTTTGTGTTCCTAAACTGTCTTTGCCCTCTAAAATTTGCTCATTCCCCAGAGTGATCTAGTTAAAAAAAAAAAAAAAATTAAAAAAATCAGTTTTCAAAACTTTCCCCACTCTTCAAAGCTGTCCTCACCCTTCGTAAGTGTCCCAACTTTCCAAATGTTGTTTCACTCTGTACAAATGCCCTCTTCTTGTACTGTCTTGACTGTTAAAGATGTCCCAACTTTACAAAATGGTTCCAAGGGATATCACATTCTAAAATGTCCACACAATCATAAATATCCCTGTTTTCCAAAACAGTCTTCAGTTCCTCTATTTCTTAAATGTCACTTTCCAAAGTTCTTCTATTTTTGAAAATTGCTACATGGAAAATGTTCTGTTTGTTCAAAAATATCCCCATTTTCAAAAGCTACTCTTGAGCTCTAAAATATGCTTAAATTCCAATGTGTTAAAGTTTTCATACATTTTCTCATCTGTTAAAATGTTTGTGCTTTACAAAAATGTTCTCACTCTTCACATGTCCCCACTTCTCACTGTCAAAAACTGTCGTTCAAAAACATCCCTGCTTTCCAATAATTTTCCATTTTTTCTTAATATTCTTTTTCAAGATACTTATACTTTGAGGTAGAAATAACAACAACAACAACAAAACATACTTTTCAAAAGCAGTTCATACTGTCTTTTTTTTGTGGGGTTCATTGTGTAAACGAAAGGCCTTTATATGTAAATATCTTCCTGTGGACTGATATAAAAGCTCATCAGTCCACAGCACTGTCAAAGGCTCACACCAATTAGCATCCATAGGTATAGATACATCATACAGTGGAAGCTCCTGAAAATGAAACCCAGCAGCTGATTTTATGGGCAGGAAAAGTAATTCTCTGGGAGTCTTCTATTCATCAGAAATTAAATAGATCTTCTCTCACACAAAGCACCTGGGAAATAAACAGCTCCATCCTGGCACCTAGAAAAATGAAAATAAATCAAAAAATGGCCGGACCATTATTCTCCATTCCTCTTCTCCTTTTTTCTGGTCATAAACTGTGGGGCATTTACATATATATTAATGCCCCTGATGGCTTTGGTCAGGAAACATTCTGTATCGAAAGTGGAGAAAGAAGACGGTTAGGTTGGGGAAAATCTTGTTGTGAGGGATTCCACTCCTCCGCCCGGCAGCACGCACGCACACACACACACACACACTACCTCTCTACAGTCAGTTTTTTCTATTTTGATTAATAATCCCCTCACATACAGTCACACAAAGACTCATTCGATTAGGGCAAGGCTGTGCGGTTTACTCTGTGTAATGTGTGTGGTGGTAGATGTGAGTGAGCACGTGTACAATGAATGAAGCAGGCATAGGAGGTGCCCGAGGGGATGCTGGCATACATGCCACAATTAAAAGTGCCCCCCAAGAAGCTGAGAGAGTGGTTAAGATCAGAGAGGGTTATTACCAGGCAGCTAATTCATCACTGTCACTCGGCCCCAGGCCTCACTGCATGGCATTAAACACACAGCACATATACGCACTGACAAAAGCCTGACCGAACACATGCATGCATACACAATGGATAAGCAGGACAAAGCCCAGAGTGAAGCAAGAGGTGCTAACACATCTATCAGCACCTGTTTGTATACTAACAGTAAACATCTGCCAGAAATAAAGCTTTAAATAACACTAAGACAGAGGCTGGAAAAATGTTATTGTGTATGGAAATGGCGAATAATGTGAAGTGGCATATACATTGTGTTTGAAGTGCTAGTTATATTGGTCCTGGTGCTGTAAGTTGGTCATTTTTGGGCTGATTATCCAACAGTGTGATATTTTTGGGGGGTGATGCTTTGTAATATATTTGATCAGTTAAAGCTGTTTTAGCTGATTATCTGATTTGGAATCTAAAAATGTGTCTCTGGACAGTTATAGATCCACAAGCAGGATGTTATAATAAGGTATAAATAGGTAAAATGACCTGGCCAAGGAAGATATAGCACATTAGCCAAGTAGCTGACATGGTGTACAGAAACATCTGCACCAAGTATGAGCTGGAAGTCCCAGGATCAAAATGGAACACACCTCAAAAAGGTGATGGACAGTGACCAAGTCCTGTGGGACTTCCAAATCCAGACTGTGGCAAGAACTTGTGAAACTCAAAAAAATGCCAAGGGCTGAGAGAAGAACTACAAAAGATGTGGAATGTGAAGGCAACAGTAGCACCAGTGGTGACTGGAGCACTTGGGGCTGTAACCCCCAGACTGGGAGAGTGGCTTCAGCAAACCCCTGGAACATCTGACATCTCTGTACAGAAGAGTGCAGTCCTCTGAAAGGCTTTTCAACCACAATTCAAAAGCAATTTCTTATTTCACTAAATTAGAATTGAGCAATTTTTTCTTTATTATTACTTTTTCAGTTTCTAGTTATTTGAGTGACTATTTTGAATTTTGCCTTTTCTTTAATCGAAGGGCATGAATAAATTTGAGGAGGACTGTATATATGCATAATAGATGTATATTGTGTTTACTGTGTGTTCTCAAAAACAGATGATGAAAAGCTGGTATCACACGCTCAGATCCATGATGGCACTTGATGTTCCTTGCGTTTCTAATGAATTGGTGATGCTGCAGCTAACAAGCAGCACTGTTTGTTCTGTCTTGCAGTTAATTTGGTTTTAGAAAATAGCTTGCACCCCTTTCTCTCTCTTTCTTGCTGCAGTTCCAACTGCAGCTCCTTGTCCATTAGCTTACTGCCAGATACAGTTTACATGGCTCACTTTGGTTATCTCAGCTTTTGTAAGTGGCAAGTGAGAGATATGGTAGACTCATTTAAACAAAACTGCCTCAGCAGCAGCAGCAACAGCAGCAGCATCTTCAGCTCAGCCTCCAAGGACACACATACCCACACACCCTCACCCACAGCTACTTTGTGTGGGAGCTGGTAGACGGGATTAATAAGGGCCAGAATGCATTGGATAACCTGTACACTGCAAACAAAACGAGCATAATATGTTCTGTGTGTACTTGAGCCATTAAAACCAGTGCAGTACAATATTAAAGATGTCGATGGCATCATGTTTGTTTCACAGACTTGAATGAAGCTTCATCATATTGATTCCCTACAAGAATCCAATTGTGAACAGCATGACGTGCAGCACAATTCTTTTATGTTCCCAGAATGATGTGAATGGCTAAAAGTTGAAGGAATGTGACTGGTACCTTTTCTCTTTAAGGAGTCGTGTGATTTCCATATCCGCTAAATTGTCACAGTTCTTATGTGGTTGAGATCTGCAACAAAAACTATTTGTGAGGTTTATGGAGTGTCATTTTCCAACCATCCACTCAGACCAGTGGTCCAGCTTCATAACGTAGCCCAATCATGACAGTTGTTACTTTTGTGTGGTTGGCAGCAGCACCAGGGAAAAGGACAATGGCATATCCTGATCAACTGATGTGCTTTAATCTGTGGTGATGTACTTCAAAGCGTGTGTGTTGCCATTACGAAGCTTTCTGAAGCTACAAAAATATCATGCTTTTTCCATTTTTGTTTTTGAGAAACAGGAGTCACTTTGCATGACTGTGAGGTAAAATGTGTTTCAAGAAAAGAACAATGCTGCTGATGTTTTTCTAACATTACTGCAGAGTGCAGCTGCAGCTCAAACTGGTTTACTATCACCAAAGTACACCCAAGTTTAAAGAATTGTGTGATTTATTCTGCTTTTTTCATCAGCACTTCCCTGCAGATGGATGTATGCTAGATTACTGTCCTTGCTTCTGGGGTCTCAGATACATCCTCTGACTAGATTAAAAAAAAACCTCTACTCTCTATTTTCTTTATTAATACACCAGTCTTTACTAACCCCCTTTACATAGCTCAGTTGAAATCCTTGTAATTATTATACATGACACTAAATGGAAGTGTAGCACGTGTGTGTGTGTGTGTTTGTGTGTGTGTGTGTGGGTGTGTGTGTGTGTGTGTGTGTGCGTGTGAAAGAGAGGGGTACACATATGTAAATAGGCTGTTTTGCATATAAAATGCTTTAGCTTCAGTATTCCAGGGTAATAAATTGCTCAAAGTGAGAGACAGCACACATAGCCTTGGGCCATCCCAGAGTCATTAAGTAGCCAAATTTGGTGAGGCGGACATAAAGCCAGTAATTCAATGATAGCCTAACGCTATGATAGAGAATTTACATGGAGATAAAAACCCAGAGAGGAAGAAGAGAAGGTGAGAGCGTGTCAGGGAAAGAAGCAGAGAAACACGTAGAACTAAGAGACAAAGAAAAGGGAGTAAAGAGGAGGAGTGAAGAAAGAGAAAGAGTGGTGGGGGAGGGAGGGGATGTGACGGGTATGTGGTAAATGACAACTTACAAATGAAGAGTAGGCCAAAGCCACGACTCCAGCAGCCACTTCAGCAATGAATATGATGAGAATGATGGAGAAGAACTGCATGGAGGGAAGATGATAGAAAAAGGTCAACATTAAAAAAACCAAAACTATGCACAGATAGATAGATAGATAGATAGATAGATAGATAGATAGATAGATAGATAGAAAGAAATGATCAATGTAAATCAAAATTATTATCCCATGAAGGTCTGGCCTTGGAATCGTATTCAAAATAAAAGTTACAGGCTGATCCAACTTCAGTGGAAATTCCTCCAGACAAGTCAAAATGAGGCTCAGTAGTGTGTGAGGCCTGTATGACCTCCCCACAATGCCTGGGCATGCTCCTGATGAGGCGGTGGACGTTCTCCTGAGGGATCTCCTCTCAGATCTGGATTAAAGCATCAGTCAACTCCTGGACAGTCTGTGGTGCAATGTGGCGTTGGTGGATGGAACGAGACATGATGTCCCAGATGTGGTCAATTGGATTCAGGTCTGGGGAACGGGCCAGCCAGTCCATAGCATCAATGCCGTCATCAGGCAGGAACTGCTGACACACTTCAGCCACATGAGGCCTAACATAGCCATGCATCAGAAGGAACCCAGGGCCCACTGCACCAGCATATGGTCTCACAGTGGGTCTGAGGATCTCATCCTGGTAGCTAACGGCAGTCAGGGTACCTCTGGCTAGCCCATGGAGGGCTGTGCGGCCCTCCAAAGAAATGCCTCCCCACACCACTACTGACCCACCGCCAAACTGGTCACACTGGAGGATGTTGCAGGCAGCAGAACGTTCTCTCACATGCTCAGTGTGAACCTGCTCTCATCCGTGAAGAGCACAGGATGCCAATGGCCAATCTGCCAATCTTGGTGTTCTCTGGCAAAAGTTAATCTCTCTGCATGGTGTTGGGCTGTAAGCACAAGCCCCACTTGTGGACGTTGGCCCTCATACCACCCTCATGGAGTCTGTTTCTGACAGTTTGAACAGAAACGTGCATATTAGTGACCTGCTGGAGGCCATTTTGCAGGGTTCTGGCAGTGCTCCTCCTGGTCCTCCTGCACAAAGGAGTAGGTAGCTGTCCTGCTGCTGGGTTGTTGCCCTCCTACAGCCCCCTCCACGTCTCCTGGTGTACCGGCCTGTCTCCTGGTATCTCCTTCATGCTCTGGACACTGTGCTGAGAGACACAGCAAACCTTCTTGCCACAGCTTGCATTGATGTGCCATCCTGGATGAGCTGCACTACCTGAGCAACTTCTGTGGGTTGTAGACACCGCCTCATGCTACCTCTAGGGCTGAGAGCACTGACAAAATGCAAAAGTGACCAAAATACTGGCCAGAACAGAGACATGGTCTGTGGTCACCACCTGCAGATCCCCTCCTTTATAGAGGTTGTCTTGCTAATTGCCTCTCATATCCACCTGTTGTCTGCTCCATTTGCACAACAGCAGGTGAAACTGATTCACAATCAGTGTTGCTTCCTAACTGGACAGGTTGATTTCACAGAAGTGTGATTGACTTGGAGTTACATTGTGTTGTTTAGGTGTTCCCTTTGTTTTTTTGAGGAGTGAATTTGTGTACAACAAAAAGACTCAACCATGAAGAGGTCTGTGTCTTTAAAACTAAAAAATCAGACTCCAAATTAAAGAGACAGAAGAAAGATGAGGGTGGAAAAAAACCCAAAGAGACTGCTGTATCAGTGAAAAAAGTTGGTGGTGGATGATGGGATTCTCCACTGACTGAACAACACTGACAGCTTGTCCTCCTTCAAAAGTTGAAACCTTTTTTGTGAGGGTTATGGAGCAGGTTTGTCTTTTGTTTTTCTCTGCCTCCTGTGTCTGTGTTTTGGTGGGTGTGTGGTTTTCCTCTGCAGGCTGGGCGGAGCCAATCGGGGAGGGACGCGCTCGTGCTGGCAGCTGTGGCTCATCGGCTCATCAGCGAGTATCTCAAATACGATCGTCTCACAGAACCCCAGCACCAGATGATTGTGATACATCCCTAGTGGTACAGTCAGGCTGCTTAGCTGCTACACTTTGTTGAGCCTCAAGCTAAGTTTGTGTTTTCCAAGTTTCGAGTAATTCGTGTTTCTCTGTGTGCCTCCAGCGTCCCTCTTCAGCTCCAGCCTCCAGCGCTCCACCCGCCACGTCAGCCTTATCGCCCACCAGCCCACACCATGGAATCCACGGTCACGAGCACCCTCCACGCGAAGGATTGTTCACGAGTACCGTCCCATGAGCACCGTTCCTGCACGCACCGTCCTCGGAAACCTCCTCCACGCCTCTCTCCCCAGCACAACCTTGGCGGCACTCCCCTCACGGACCTCAGCACGGACGACCTCCCTCCTGCACCCCCTCGACTGGCACCCCTGCACCAGATTCCTTCTCCTGGTGTCCTCCACTCCCTCACCTTCATTAATAAACCTCTTTCCTTTAACCTGTTTCTCCTGCCTCCCCTTTTCGTTCGGGTCCGCCCGCACTGCTACAGAACTCGGGCCGTCACATTTTTTCCCTTAAAACATTAAATCATCATTTAAAAACTGCATTTTGTGTTTACTTTAGTTGTCTTTGTCCAATATTTAAATTTGTTTGATGGTCTTAAACATTTAAGTGGGGGAAATATTCAAAAAAATAAGAATTTGAGAAGGGGGCAAATGCACTGTATGTGATTGGAGCTAACAACACTAAAAAATCTTGGGCCAAAGGCAAGCAAAAGTATGTTAAGAGCAGTCAGGGGTGTTATTCTCCAGTCAGGTGACTGAGTGCTGGTTAAAACTACTGCCAATGAATAAACTGCTAATGGAGGAAACACTTCCTGCACAATGTCAGAAAAGAAAGACAATGCCCAAAAAAACAGAAACAGTTACCGACACTCATGAAGACAACAGAGACAGTTCTGATGACGAGTACATGTACCAGTGCATCCCATGCTACAGGTTAGTGAGATCTCAGCAGACAGAACATCATCAACCAGAGTACCATCCTTAGTCTCAGCAAAGGCTAAGTGCTAGAGCCAGGAAGTTTCACCCTACTGTCAGAGGGGCAACATATACTCTTTTGAATTTTGAATTCCTACGGATAATTTCCTATCAAACAGTTGCTGAATGTTTTGTAGTAATTGAATAAATAACACTAAACAATATTTAACCTGAACAAAGAATCTTTGGTTTTCAGATATTAACATCTTTACTAGTTTTAACCTCCTTGCAACCAAAGATCCATGACATGAACTGAGTGAGTTGGCATGAAGTGATCCTCAGAAATGTGGACATGTTGGCTTCCATGCTACCTTGGCTGCCTTGCTACCATCTTTGTGAAGTAGACGTACACTGATGCCTTACACTTGCTTGTGTCATAGCTGTTGCCACAATCCCAAGTGCACTTACCGTGAGCAGCAGACACTTGCTCTCTTTGTGGGCCCCACAGCAGCCCAGAAGTCCCAGCAGCACCAGTATGGCACCAATGGCAATGCAAAAAAAAGCCACATTGACAAACTGCATGCCTTGACTGGAGAACGGCCCCAGGAGGTGGAGAAAGGAACTCCCATCCACGCTCACCCAGATCCCCATGGCCAGCAGTGTCAGGCCACCCAGCTGCGGGAGGATCCAGATAAATATGATCAACATATATTTGCGCAAACATCTATGCATGAGTGTGCAAGCAGAAAACTAATGCCTATCGTTTATGAAAGTGGGATAATGACCATGAGTAGTCCACACTTAACAACAGTGAGTAAAATGTCAATCATTTGTTTGCCTGGCAGTCATCCAGATGCAGTCAAGTCAATGTCTCTTGAGAAGTTAATAGGTTCTGGAAATAAGAGGCCACATTACATCATTATCCCTCTGTTACTATTACAGCTTAGTGACAACATGACACCTCAATATCCTTCCCTCAATTCAGAGAGGAGGATTTCTTGTGAGGCTGAGAGACATGCTGCCTTAGGCTTCCTTTTGTGCATTGAGGCCATGCAACACCTTGGCCTCTTTTCACCGATCTAAATAAAACACTTATTGTCAATAACTTAATGTTGTCAATGGACAGAATTCCATTTAATGATCCTGTTGTGCTTATTGATGAAACCAGTCTTGGTGTGAACAGAAGTAGGCTACAGGATCATGAACAACAAAGAAGAACGTTTTTTTTTTT